GTGTGTGTGTGTGTGTGGGTGTGTGTGTGTGTGTGTGTGTGTGTGTGGGTGTGTGTGTGTGTGTGTGTGTGTGTGTGTTGTGTGTGTGGTGTGTGTGTGTGTGTGTGTGTGTGTGTGTGTGTGTGTGTGTGTGTGTGTGTGTGGTGTGTGTGTGTGTGTGTGTGTGTGTGTGTGTGTGTGTGGGTGTGTGTGTGTGTGTGTGGTGTGTTGTGTGTGTGGTTGTGTGTGTGTGTGTGGTGTGTGTGTGTGTAGAATCCTTTTTATACATGCTTAATTAGAAAAAATGCTGGGGTCAGCATTGACGAGCTTTTTGACGAACCGTTCTAGTTTACGGGCTTTTGACTTGGCATCATCGCTTGGATCAAAGACGGTTCGCACAAAATTACCCGCATATGTCGCTTTGTACTCCTAACGTTTCGAGATCCTGCCTCATCGTCAGAGAAAACTGAATGGCACAAGAAATAAGCTTTGAGTTTGGGAGGATACAAATTGTGCACTGTATTGGAAAACATCTGTTGGTACGGAGAACACCAATGCAGACTGACTTATTGAAGTAGGATAGAATCCTACTTTCATTTTGATACGTATAAGATACACTCATAATGGGAACACTACAAACACGCTATGGTAACACTATCGTCACATTCACATCAATGGTGCTCACCGCCATCACCTAATAATTCAAGAGTACACTTCTAGTAAATATACTTCCCAAATTTCAAGGCGCCTCCTGTCATTGCACGTCCGTAAAATGCCAGTGTTATCTGTCAGTTGTTGTCATGCCAATGTCATGTCGCGTTCGTGTCGCATATGGCCCAGAGATGCCCTGTAACGTTAGTGCATTGTCGTGTGTCGTGAAAGTATCGTTGTGGTCACACTAATGTAGTGCATAGAACGAAGTTTGCAGCATTCGATGCTACATTAGGAATGATACAGTACATTGGTGCCTTTTAGCTTGTCGCGTTTGTCCAGGCTGTTTCTCGTAAGACAGTTAGAGATTTTCTTATTGCAATGACAAATGACGATGCCTAATTTGCGATCGTTTTGCCTTTAACATGTCAAGAAATAATTTTCCGTAAAGCTTTTTCGTCTTGTTTGTGGGCAGATGCATTTTGATTTTAATACAGCAGTTTGAAGATTGCTTGGATGCCTTGTCTTGGTTTGCTGTCAAAGTGTCTTGTCACATGTCGTTGTATTTCGTTTTCGACGTTAGAATTTGAAAAAACCGTTGTGCTCCAAGATCAGCCTGATTCTGATCAATTCAGAATGTAGTCCTGTCCAATCAGAGCAATGCTTAAATGCACGTCTAATGAAATACCTTATGACGCTAATTTTGTAGCGTCGAGGACACTCACTGTCAGCATTTAAGCACCGTCCGTTGTTAGTCTGGTTTCGGTATACAGTCGTTTTGAATCGCTGTCCTTGTCCATTAGCAGCCACGTCAAGAAAGGTTAATATGCTTTGCACACTTAGTTCTTTTGTGAATTCTAAACCAGACTGCTCTTCAAGGATGTTTTTGAGACATCCTAATTGGTCAATGTCCCTAACCTCTACAAAGATATAGTCTACGTAGCGACAGAAAATGTCCGGTCTTACGTCGTCCTTTTGTAGTGTGTCGGCTTTTACATGTCACTTAAATAAATTAGCGAATAAAGGTCCTAGAGGCGAGTCCATCGCAACACCCTCACTTTCGCAACACATTCGTCCATCATGCCCGCAGAAAAGAAGTTCCAACGTACAGGCTTTTAGTAATTGTTCAAGAAGGCTTTTTGATATTTTGAGAGGAGGCATTTCAGGATGATTGTAAACTCAGTCGAGGGTAATGGATATGGTTCTTTCAATGGGCACTTTTGTAAATCGATTTTCAACATTTAGAGAGGCTGGTAGACCCTTAGGTTGACAAGATCGCTCTATAACAATAAACCCATCCGTTGACGACAAGCTGTAGCACATGGGAACATATGGGGACAGAAGACCATTAAGAGGTTCTGCAAATCCATAGACTGGGGAAGGGATACGTGAATTTATTGAACGAAGCGGTTGTCGTTTTTGAGTTTTTGCAGACCCATAAGCATAACCACGCGCAAATTCATCCATTATCTTGGAAAAGTGTATGCCATCA